TTGCAGGATACAAAATCAACACACAGAAATCTGTAGCTTTCCTATACACTAACAACGAATCAATAGAAAGAGAAATCAGGAAAACAATTCCATTCACCATTGCATCAAAAAGAATAAAATACCTAGGAATAAACCTAACCAAGGAAGTGAAAGACTTATACTCTGAAAACTACAAGTCACTCTTAAGAGAAATTAAAGGGGACACTAATAAATGGAAACTCATCCCATGCTCATGGCTAGGAAGAATTAATATCGTCAAAATGGCCATCCTGCCCAAAGCAATATACAGATTTGATGCAATCCCTCTCAAATTACCAGCAACATTCTTCAATGAATTGGAACAAATAATTCAAAAATTCATATGGAAACACCAAAGACCCCGAATAGCCAAAGCAATCCTGAAAAAGAAGAATAAAGTAGGGGGGATCTCACTCCCCAACTTCAAGCTCTACTACAAAGCCATAGTAATCAAGACAATTTGGTACTGGCACAAGAACAGAGCCACAGACCAGTGGAACAGATTAGAGACCCCAGAAATTAACCCAAACATATATGGTCAATTAATATTTGATAAAGGAGCCATGGACATACAATGGCAAAATGACAGTCTCTTCAACAGATGGTGCTGGCAAAACTGGACAGCTACATGTAGGAGAATGAAACTGGACCATTGTCTAACCCCATATACAAAGGTAAACTCAAAATGGATCAAAGACCTGAATGTAAGTCACGAAACCATTAAACTCTTGGAAAAAAACATAGGCAAAAACCTCTTAGACATAAACATGAGTGATCTCTTCTTGAACATATCTCCCCGGGCAAGGAAAACAACAGCAAAAATGAGCAAGTGGGACTACATTAAGCTGAAAAGCTTCTGTACAGCGAAAGACACCATCAATAGAACAAAAAGGAACCCTACAGTATGGGAGAATATATTTGAAAATGACAGATCCGATAAAGGCTTGACGTCCAGAATATATAAAGAGCTCACACGCCTCAACAAACAAAAAACAAATAACCCAATTAAAAAATGGGCAGAGGAACTGAACAGACAGTTCTCCAAAAAAGAAATACAGATGGCCAAGAGACACATGAAAAGATGCTCCACATCGCTAATTATCAGAGAAATGCAAATTAAAACTACAATGAGGTATCACCTCACACCAGTAAGGATAGCTGCCATCCAAAAGACAAACAACAACAAATGTTGGCGAGGCTGTGGAGAAAGGGGAACCCTCCTACACTGCTGGTGGGAATGTAAATTAGTTCAACCATTGTGGAAAGCAGTATGGAGGTGCATCAAAATGCTCAAAACAGACCTACCATTTGACCCAGGAATTCCACTCCTAGGAATTTACCCTAAGAACGCAGCAATCAAGTTTGAGAAAGACAGATGCACCCCTATGTTTATCGCAGCACTATTTACAATAGCCAAGAATTGGAAGCAACCTAAATGTCCATCGGTAGATGAATGGATAAAGAAGATGTGGTACATATACACAATGGAATACTACTCAGCCATAAGAAGTGGAAAAATCCAACCATTTGCAGCAACATGGATGGAGCTGGAGAGTATTATGCTCAGTGAAATAAGCCAAGCGGAGAAAGAGAAATACCAAATGATTTCACTCATCTGAGGAGTATAGGAACAAAGGAAAAACTGAAGGAACAAAACAGCAGCAGAATTACAGAACCCAAAAATGGACTAACAGGTACCAAAGGGAAAGGAACTGGGGAGGATGGGTGGGCAGGGAGGGATAAGGGGGGGGAAGAAGAAGGGGGGTATTAAGATTAGCATGCATGGGGGGGAGGGAGAAAGGGGAGGGTGGGCTGCACAACACAGAGAGGACAAGTAGTGACTCTACCACATTTTGCTAAGCTGATGGACAGTAACCGTAATGTGGTTGTTAGGGGGGACCTGATATAGGGGAGAGCATAGTAAACATAGTATTCTTCAGGTAAGTGTAGATTAAAAATTTAAAAAAAAAAAAGAAAGAAAGAAAGAAAAGGGGGATTACTCCTTAACAGGATAAAACTATTGGTAAATCAAAGATCAACGCATGCTTTAAATATCCTTAATGTTGATCACTTAAAGGGTGTCAGATGATCAGCTATGGAGGTACTCTTTTCTGATAATATTCCTTTCTCTTAATTAAAAAAAAAAAAAAAAAGCAGTTACTGTGTGCTGACCTCCAATGAGTTCTGCACAGTGGTATAGAGGGCATGTCAAAGTGTGGGCAAAGGGTCTGTTTGTTTCTACGCAGAAGATCAAGGCCTAGCTTGGATACCCAGAAAATGAACTAAGATACGATATGAGGAGGAGCTTCCGGCATCAGCACTCTCTGGAGGACTCGTGCCGGGGGATGATCATCAAAAAGCCTCCACAGGGATCCGGACGATGCTGCGGTTGTGGCTGCATCCAGCCCACCGTCTCCTGGACTTGCCATAAGAAGGAGGAGGGAGATGTCTAGGCTGGCATGTGCATACAGTGAGACAACGAATTTGACTGGATCTGTACTGTTGGAACTCAACCAGGAGTTGGGAGGGGTGCAAGTTGTAGCACCCCAAAATCTCATGACTATAGACTATCTATGGTTAAAAGAACATATGGGATGTGAACAGATCCCAGAAATGGGCTGCTTTAATTTGTCTGATGGTTCAAGTACAGTTGGAAAATATCCATCATATCATAGATAAATTTTCACAAATGCCTAGGGTGCCTAAATGGTTTTCTTGGCTTCACTGGAGATGGCTGGTAATTATAGATTTGCTTTGTTTATGTCACCGTATTCCTATTATGTTAATATGTGTGTGCAAATTAGTTAGTAGTTTAAAACCTATACATACTTAAGGTACTATACAAGAAGATATGTCAAAGAAATAATCAATCCTCCCAAGTTTCCTTCATATGCTACATCTATAGCTTTTCTTCTTCCTTCCTAATTACAACCCTTAAATAGAATTCGTGCCTCATATCGAATTTACCGAGTATCATAATTCCTCCAGGTGGTAAAGATACCTCGAGACAAGTGCTGGGCATAGAAGCCACAGGGCATAAATCTGCAAAGAAGTAAAAAGCTAACCTTTGCAAACAATATGGCTTCTCTCTCACTTACCAACTTTACATTTCCCTGTATGGCCCCGGAAGATGACTGGTTAGCCAGAGACGGGTAAGATTCCTCAAGGGAGGAACAACCTAAGACAGGCACAGTCGCAGGGGGGCCATCAGGTGAGAATTTGGGGATCAACAGAGGTGAGGCTCAGAACCTCACCCCCCCTGCTTTGAGAGAAATCTTCTGCATCCGTGGATGTCTTGCTGCCCTTGTCTAGCCTGGATTAATACTTAGTCCATAGGCACACACCTGATCATCTGATCATCTACATTTGCCTTCTTACAGCACTAAACTATGTTTTCTACCTTTATCTTGCATCTACCTACCACTTCAGCATTTTATTAAAAATAAAAATAATAATAATAATAGGAGAAATGTGGGATCAACATATAAATCAAGTACAAAAATCAAATGAATATTCATATTTGACCTGATGGTTTATAGGTCATATTGCATGATCAAAACCGAAAGTTTCTGTGATGACTGCCCTTGTACTGTTCACCATGTAAGAATTTATTCACTCTGTAAGAATTCGTTCACCATGTAAGAACTTGTTCGTTATGCTTCAGAAGATTGGAGACTGACGAGAATTAGGCTTGAGATGGATTAATGATTGTACATTGAGCATTGACCCCCCTATACTGAATTTTATTGTTGTTAACAACCATTTGATCAATAAATATGAGAGATGCACTCTCAAAAAAAAAAAAATACAACAGATATTCATTTACCTACTACTGAGATTAAACAAATATTAGCATTTTCCCCATTTATTTCCCTAAATGGATACTAACAAACATTCCAGATGCAGATAGAAATAACGACCCCCTTTTAACTTCTCTTGCACAGCTTGCCATGTGAGCCATCTGGTCCTGTTGGATTCATCTTCTTCTCGAAATGTCATGCTTCCTTCTTTTTTTCTTGAGGCCCCCTTCACTTTCCACCTCTGCCAATAAGCTTTCCTGCCAATCCACCAGTTTCTAAATTGCTGCACAAGTCCACTGCTCTCTTGGGGACAATATTCTGCCTGTACAGTTTTCACGTAGCAGTCTGATACCAGCATTGGGTGTCTACTCCCCATATAGTCACTTGTTCATCTTGCTTTATGTTATTTTTGATGGTCTGCATGTACTTCTCTCTTAGACAGCAATGTTGAGAATAAGATCTGAGTCTTAGTCTCATTCACTCACTCACTCATCTCATGGATGTTCACTGTGTTCTCACTTAAAGGCTCAGGAATTGTGTTAACACACTGAGGACACAAGAGTGAACACACCTGACTGTTGCTGTGATTGTGGAACTTATATTCTAGGGGGTGGAGAGAGAAATTATTCATGGGATAAATTAATGATCATGTCAGGTGAATAGTGGTAAGGAGAAAACCAAAACTGGGGAAAACTTAAAGAGCAAGGGAATTCTATTTTACATATACATTCAACATCTGCCATCTCCTACATTCTCATCTCCCTGCCAAATGTACACAGTGCTCACTACCTATTTGTTGAATTCCACAGTGTACCCAAATAGATGATATTTGACCACCTGCTTCTGAAGCATTGCCTATGTTGACCATCCTTCCTGGAGAGTAGTTCATCCTTTCCTGCCAGGAGCACATCTGAGTTGTGCCTCCACCCTATCAGTAGATGCGTCCTATGGAAATAATAACAGATTGTAATACTAGCCTAAGTAGAGCAAAATTAGGGAGGGAAAACCTGTTTCCCAGTACCATTCATTCCATAGTCAAATGGAACCAGTTTGGCATCATCTTTCTTACTGTTCTTCAGCCTTTGGGATGTTGTTAGGTTCACTGTTTCACAGTGTTTCTGTCTGTGGTGGGATCAAACTATGACACCAAGGAGATCAATGTCCTCTTTCTGATTCTTCTAGCCTCCAGAAAAGGATGAAATCCCTCAACTTGTCACTTAAAGAAATCACTACTAAGGTAACTGCTCTTATATGCCCATTTTCTAAAGAAATCTCTGGAGTTTTCTTTTACCTAAACTTCATGTCTAGAGCACAGAACACAGGCTCTGGAAGAAATATAGGCTTTGCAAAGCCATTCTGCAGGCCAAGAGGTGAACTCAGAGAGCCAGGGGTGAGGACTGCTCCCATGGTGGGGGTCCTGACTTGTGGTGCCAGGGGGATTGACTGGTTTGACTTTGGCTTTAGAAGTAGCTGTCAGGTCAGTGAATGGAAAATGCCACTGTGCATAGTCAAATGCCTTTGCTGCAAAAGGCTTTCATGATGGAAGTAAACTGAGAAATGAGTTACTTTCCCTTCCAGGAGGGCAGAGTTCAAATTCCTCCCAGACATACAGAAATGGTAGAATAGGTGGTTTTTTGTATTTTACTCTTTAAGTTGACTTCAGAATCATTTTGCTTGTTGAATCTGCCATTTACATTTCACATCAGGACCAACTGAGGTCTGTGTAGACAGAGAGCACTCCCTCATTATTTCCTGGGAGCACAGAGCCAATTCAATTGCATAGCCAGTGTGTGGTTGGTTAGGAGAACCTCAGTTTACAAAACAATACCTCCCCCCACAGGGAGAGTTATACCAAGCTCAGTTATAGACCAGCTGTGAACTAGGATCAATTATTCTGTGAATTATTACTAAGTGTGTGGCAGAGAACTGGGTATGAATCATTAATAATCTGCATAGATGTGGGGACTGCACTGGTTTTAAGATGCTCGCTCTAAAAACAAAGACAACAGGTTTCTGAGCAGAGAGCAAAGCAGAGGGGAGCCCCTGGTCTGCAAGGACTTTTCCTGTTCCTATAGCCCAGGGGAGGTCAGGAAGTCCTGCTGACAGCAGATTGCCACAGCCAAGCAGAGACTGTGGATCTGGCTTGAGCAGAAATGCTTAGTTACTCTGCCCTGTCTTAGGTTTTGTGTCAAAGTCATTTCTGAAGACATGAAGTGATGTTGCTAAAAATCACACAGCAGATGTTTGATGGGCAATTATGCCCTGCATAAAACTGGGGCTTCCTGGTAGGATTAAGTCTTATCCATAGACAGCCTTGGAACAGAGACCTGGGGGAGACAGAGACAAAAACCTGCTTCACCTTCCAGAGAACTTCCCATGAGCGTTGCTCACCCAAAGAACAGGATGAGACTCCAGGCCCTGCTTTGTTGGGAGCTGTGTGAAGCCCTGCATCCCCAGGGCAGACCTCTGGCAAGGGCTTTTATCTTCAGCTCCTATGCTAAGCAGAGCTGAGGACTTCCCCCTGCCTAACTGCAGGGACAAGGGAGACTGACTCAGTTTACCAGTTTGGTTGTGTGCAGTAGGTGGAGAGGTTAGGGAGCAGCCCTGAATTTCCACCATACCAGTCACACTGATGTCACTCACTAGAATCAAGGCCCTGTCAGTGTCAGTCCCTATGACCTCCAGGTGGAGCCACTAGGGCCATGGAGAGAAGCTGAGGTTTCCCAGATGGGGTACGTGGTAGAAGGATGCCTTCTCTATTTTCTAGTGTAAACAAGTGCAATTTATCAGGTGCATCCTAATTTCTGTGTAGAATTAAAAGGTGGAAGCCCTCTTAGGTTTGGGTGTATCAAGTATGAGAACCTATTTTGTGCGTATCATGGATGGATCTGTTTCCCAGCAGTGGGTATGCAGCTATGCATATTATGTAACACTGTGGTGGTTACGTGTGTGTGTTGTTCTGTATGGCATTTTGTACTGTACACACACACACACACACACATATACACGCCATATTGGGGTTTGCTGATGATCCCCAGCTACGATGAAAGCTTTGGGGTTTGTCCAAATGCCCAAAGTAGTAATTTTCACTTTCTTTGCATACCTTCTCCAGTGCATTTGCCAAAACGTGTAATTCCCTTGCTTTTCCATAAGATTTAGGAATTCATGCCTAAGGTTTGAAATGTAAATGTAAAAGTTCCATATGATAATGAGTTCCTCAGGGTCCAATTTTATTTGGAAATAAAAAGGCACAGATTTTCTGGGGTATAGATGTATGTGTACAGGTGGGTATGCATGTGCACACATATGTGACCATGTTTCTGTACAGGGGCACATATTAGTCTACAGAGAATTAAAACAAAGCTGCAAGGTCACACCAAACAACTCTCTCTGCTCTGGAGTCCACTGAGTGGTGACCTTGAGGTAAAAGTTTCACCTTGGCACCATTTCCTGTCTTTAGTTCATTAGATACACAGATCTGACGTTCACCTGGCTCCTCCCTCAAGGAGAGATGGAACCTTCTTTCTACTCATCACATTTCTTTAACTCTTATGGGTTACCCAAACCAAAGTAATTAAAGGATAAGTGAGAGGGAAGAAACAGTTGGAAATAAATGCGATATGTGGAGATTGGCAGATGTTATATTACGTCCAACAGTGCCCCAAAGAATGCACATTGCAATTTAATAAGAAGATTTAGGAAGATTGTTTTATATTAATAGTGGCAGCTTAAAGATAGATTTACTTAATCAGAAAAGTGAAACTGACCCAGTTATGATTAACAGCTACTGTTAATTAAAATCAGAAATGCTGGGCAGACATGATGGGGCATAAGAATTACGGCTGGTGTTACAGAGTTGACAGAAATGCCCACTGACTTCGATGACACCTTAGGTGAATGGAAGGGGATGTGCCAGTCATTGAGTATGAAGCCAGCCTTAGACTGAGTGCTGGGGGGAAGGTGTCCAGAGCATCTTTCCTTTTTCTCCTAATCTAACACCCTGACAAATCTCAGGGCTCTTCCAGGGCCTATGAATTCACCACTTTGGGCACGTGGTACAAGCTTTGATTTAGAGGCCACCATGCTGCCACCTTCATCCAGAAGAGTTTTATAAAGAGATTTGAGATGTTACAGCTGTGTAATGGAAAAGAACATGTTTATACGTTAAAGGCCCTGGGAGAAGTGGTGTGACATTGTTGGCAGGATGGGTGAGGTCTGCTCTGATTCTAAAAATAATCTCAATTTCAGTCTGAGATAAGCAACACATTTCAAGTTGATGGTATCAAGCAAGATCTAGATTCTTCAGGAGAAATTGTTTTATATTATCTCTGGGCTCCATGAACCCAGCTAGGTTAATTTGTTTTTGGATGGAATCTTAGATTTTTAGCAAGAAAAGAGGGATGCTTCTAGGTAACATCCTTGGTGGAATGTCCCAAAATATCTCCACACATGCATCCATTCTTATTCAACTGGGCTGTATGCCTTTGTTAAACTGGAAGTTTTTTTAGGTAACTCATTAATCTGAGTATAGAGATCAGTGGAATATGAGATTTTCACTTTAAACAAGACAAATTGTGTGATGTTGGAGTTTCAAACAAAATAAAAGTGAACCCAAGACATTTGGAAAAAGAAACTGAGATTTAAGAATTTTGCTGTTTTTGAAAAAGCCAAAATAAATGTAGGAAGTGTTTGGAGAATCCTGGAAAAATAAAAGTAAAACCTGCAAACCTCCCTGAGAATTCCCTGTGTATTTCTCAAATCTGACTTACCAACAAATGTCTGCCCTCAAAGTGTCATCATACAGCTTCTAGTCAGAATTAAATTTAGTCTGCCTCTTTCCCCTTGATCTCATTGGCTGTGCATCTTTATTTACTGCCTACTATATGCCAGACACAGAACAAATTCCCTGCATGCATAGAGCTTGTATCTTAGTGGAGAGAAACAACAGAAAAACAGAGATAAAAACTGTGTCAGCTGGAGAGGACACCATGGAAAAACAAAGGCGGGCAGGAGGGAGGACTCAGGAGCAGGCTGCTTATGTGGTTAGTCAGGAAGGACTTTCTTCCCAGGTGTGACGGGGCCAAGCCTCTTGGGCAAGAGTATTCCAGGGATGGTTGTAGGCAAGTGGTGACGCTGGTGCTCACCTTGTGTAGTTAGTTCCTGTCAGTCTTGGGTTTTGGTGTGGTGAAGGTGTGGGACCTAATGTTGGAATACGCTAGTGCCGGCTTTACTTAGTTCTTTTCTCCCTCTCTCCCTCCTTCCTTTTTTCTTTCTTTCTTTTTGCATTGATTGCTTTTTAAGAACTCTCCTCCAGTTACTCTTTATCACCCCCTTAATTACTTATGAACCGAGAAATCTCTGGCCTTCTGATTTTTGCCTGAATGAACGCTGGTTCAAGGCTATTTCTCTTTCTCTAGGTGTGTATGAGCGAGAGACTCTGCAGCACTCTCAGGAAGAAAGTTCATGACATTGAAACCCAACTACCTGCGCTGCTTGAGGCCAAGATGCTGGCCTTATCAGGTACCTGGAAATGGGGAAACACTGAGGCAGCTGCATGCTAGCTGTCATCACCATACCCATAGCCCTTTCTCTGTTCCTTGTGTCACACACATCTTGGAGCTTCTCTAAAATCCATGGAATAAATGGGCAGCAGGGTCTCCTTACAAAGGGATGAATAAATCTATCAAAAATACATCTGCATGCATACTGTAATACAAGTTATTTGTGTAGGTTACATTTTGGGGCTTGTAGTTCCAGGGGTTGAGCTGTGGTGCAGAGATTAGAGGTGTTCTGTAGGCCATATAATTCTTTGCCATATTTCCATGGCCTGTGTGTCTGGACTACAGGCAGAAAGAATGATACCACAAGACAAAGAGATATAGTTAGGTTAACTAGTTGGTAATGTATTATAGATATTTGGAGGATTCTTAGTGGATCACAATTCCTCCTTAGTCTGGTAGCCATTAAGGGATATATTTTTCTATTAATTAGTAGATTGAAAATATGAGTCTCTGGAAATAGCATCCTACCTTGTATCATTTGAATAGTGCTTTTAAGCATTCCTCTCTCTCTTGTTTTTTAATTTTTGCAACAGCTACATTTGGTAGGTGGGAGAGATGCTGTGTCCCAGTAAACAGACGGAGAGATTGGGGCCCTGGGGCCGGCCCTGTGGTCTAGCTCACTTGATTAGCTAAGTGGTGGCGACCCAGGGGCTAGAGTCCAGGTGGGATGTATGGATTTTAACCCAGTTATGTAACAGCATTCTTTGAGTATTCTCTAAGTCAGATGAACCTACAGCTCATCAGCTTCAGAATAGTCATAAAAATTTAACAAAAAGGTATAATAATTACATGTATGGGTTTTAAATGGCATTTTAAGAAGGAATGCAATAATTGGCAGCTTCTGCTCTTCAGATCATTAAACAACTAATGTTGGCAGCTAACGAGCAATTTGGTTCCTGGTGCAGTCAGTCGTATTATTTACAACTAGCAGAACATTGAAATGTGAATGTGGGGCTTGGCTCTTAACAGCTTCACAAGTCATTGACTTGGAATTATAGCCCCATTTGTTAAGAGAAAAAAAAGAGCATTGAGCACAATCCTGCTCCTGAGTTAGGACTTTGCTTTTCTCATCTATACATTTTCCCCAGGAATACAGGTGGATGCAACTTTATTAAGCCCTGGGGAGGAAATGTATCATTCAGGTGGCACAGATTTCCCTCTCTCAAATGTACATAATCATTTTTGAGAACCCAGGGAAAATTCTTAAAATGGTATATTGTATACAGGGGCTGGGTTTTATGTTTAGTTCTTTGATCAGCTGGGAAAATAGGGGGCCTAATCGGATGAGGGATGACTTGGATTAACTGGGATGGGAACTTGCCCCTTGACCTCCCTGTTTCCTGATTGTTCTTTAGGCCCTTGGTGAATAGGCCTTTCAGTCAATGGGCTACCCTGTGGGTTTTGCTGGTAGTGGTCAACGTTCTTTGCACATACTGTGACTTCTCTTTCCTTTTGAGCCACCCTCCACAGCAGGGAGGGCCAGAGAAGGGAAAAGGTACTTCCCTTAGGATGCTGAAGGGCCTATTTTAGCACCTTATTACAAGGTGGCTTTGGCCTCAAATGCTGGTGCAGTCATCTGCCTGCTGAGCTAGGCTGGGATGCTCATTGATGGTGAGCATCCGTTTGTCTGCCTGGATTTCAGTGCTGAGTTTGAAAGCACGGATACCTTAACCCCAGACCCACCTTACTGGACTGGCTGCCTGGAAGGGAAGTGAGAGCAAAGGTCTTGAAAAAGTGTCCATAAAAGGGAACTCAGCCCAGACAAGTCTCCTTGTCCCCTTTGTACCCTGGAAGCTCACCCTCTGCCCAAGGGCTTGATGGCTTGGGCCCCTCCTCAGAATGGGGTGTGTGTGGAGAGTGAGGGGATGGTCTCAGTGCGGCTGGGGCATATGCAGTGGGACTGGCTGACCCTGGCTCTGTAGTTAATGTGGCAGCAACAGAAGCTCAGGTCTGCCTCCCTCACTAGAGCTGCACCAAGCCTTGCCTGACCACTGATGTCTGGTGACAAGCACCTGTGTCTTGAGTCAGTCCAGTTCCACCTGCTGCTGCCATGGCCTCCTTACCACTTCTTCAGTTCCCATGATATTTCCTGCCCAGAAACAGAAGATATTTAAAGGGTGGTAGCCCATGTCTGTGACTCAGCGACAAGAGTCCTTCCTGCATATTGGCCTTTGGTCCTGGACTTGGGTCTGCACTGTTGTTGAGACATGGTCCTGGACCAGGCCCCAGGTCCTGTAGCTGGGCTCTGTCCCCATCTATACCCTGCCCAGTCCTCATCTGGCATGGATCCCGCCACTTCCCTCCCTGAGGGTCAAGGCCTGGTTCTCTGATGCCCTGATCTTGCTCTGGAACTGACATTGTTCATGCATTTCTGGTGCAGCCTCTCCCTGCTTACATCATCCGTTACTGATCTGGTCCATGCTGAGTCACCTTGTTATTTTATTCTTTGGCTTTGCCTAATGCCTGGTACCTAGGAGACAGTCAATAAGAGTAAGAAAAAAATGGGCCATTGTTTGTTGTTTACTGATCCCCAGAATCTATGATTTTCATACCTGCTTTGGGTCCTGCCTCATTTGCAGAGGTTTCTGCCTCCCATTGTTTCCAAGGAACAAACAGTTTAGGTAAACACTTACTCTTTTAAAAAAAACTTTTTTTTATTTTGGTATCATTAATCTACAATTACAGAATGATCATTATGTTTACTAGGTTCCCCCCTTCACCAAGTCCCCCCCGCATACCCCTTCACAGTCACTGTCCATCTGCGTAGTAAGATGCTGTAAAATCACTACTTGTCTTCTCTGTGTTGCACAGCCCTCCCTGTGCCTCCCACGCACTATACATGCCAATCGTAATGGTCTCTTTCTTTTTCCCCGCCCTTATCCCTCCCTTTCCACCCATTGTCCCCAGTCCCTATCCCTTTGGTAACTATTAGTCCATTCTTGGGTTCTGTGATTCTGCTGCTGTTTTGTTCCTTCAGTTTTCCTTTGTGCTTATACTCCACATATGAGTGAAAATTTTGGTACTTGTCTTTCTCCGCCTGGCTTATTTCACTGAGCATAATACCCTCTAGCTCCATCCATGTTGTTGCGAATGGTAGGATCTGTTTTTTTCTTATGGCTGAGTAATATTCCATTGTGTATTTGTACCACATCTTCTTTATCCATTCATCTACTGATGGACATTTAGGTTGCTTCCATATCTTGGCTATTGTAAATAGTGCG